CTGAGAAAGGTGTTCGTGAGATAGTTTGTAAGTTTATAGATATTCGGGTTTACAAATCCACTCTGATGCTGTCATTTTGATTATCTGTATGTTTGAGCTGTTATACTCACGTTGAACTCGATCTGTGCCTCTCAAAAGAAAACACTGTTGTTGAACCGTTATGGTAGACCAGTATTACTTGCTTAGTTGCCTGTTGTTTAACGCCGTAATCAGCAATATTCTAGCTTGATGACGACGGTTTGTAAATCGTCGATTCTGGGCCAATCAATCCAGTGGTCGACATCACGAGCATCGATCCACGCAATGGGATACGATGGCATGCATCAGTCCAATCAGTGAGTAAGACAAGCATAGGTTGTTGAAGATCAGCTATAACGCAGATTTTTAAGGTTGAGGTGGGTCTTGCCAGACACAGGTTTCCAGTTGTGGGGTTTAACGTGTGTGTGATGGTAAATGATTGTTCTGAATGGACTAAATGCAGTTTGTTATAGTGGCACTAGTGTGTTAGTACAGATCCTGAAACAAATATACCCAATACACCCCATGTTGCTAGTCTAGATTACCAGACCGCCTCCGTGGTGTAGTGGTTAGAGCGTCCGCCCAGAGAGCGGAAGGTCGCGGGTTCGATCCCTGACCGCGTCCTACCAAAAGACGTTAAAATATGGTACTTGTTGGTCCCTGCCTGGCGCTATGCATTAATGGGTACAACAAGGACTGGTCGGCTCGGAGTCAGTATACTGTGCCTGAGTGGGGTATTCATGCTTCACTGCGGCATGGTATCTCAGTGGGCTAGCACTATAAAACCAGCTTAAGTCTGGGCTAGTACAAGCAGCCGCACATACACATACACACGCATGCATGTCGTCATATGAGCGAAATATTCTCAAGCACGACGTAAAAGCCAATTTCACCTCACCTCACCTAGATTACCACAGTTTCAGGAAATGAAGAAAATCTGTGCCCCTTATTATTATATTTTATGAATATAATCTCAGAACCATTTTTTCGGTAAAATATGTTCAGAGACTAGATGTGGAGTGTCACATTACTTAAATTTGCCCGAGCTATAATCAGTACTATGCTCCTTGTATAATGGATAAGCAGACGGTTTGAAATTGTTTCTGCTGAGCAGTGGGCTGGTTCAACATGTCGCCATGTGATTATCGCTATAATGCACCGAAGAGATTCGTCAACGAAGTGGATTGCATAGGCGGTGAAAGTTGTATTGTGTTGAATTTGGTTGGTGATGTGTGAATGAGGAACTTAGCATTTTATACATTTAAATCAAGCTGAACGTCGTTTAGTATTGTTCCATGGTCAATATCGCTATATTGATGAAAATGGTATTCTAGGGGTCACTATTGAGGGGGAAACAACTATTGCGATAGCGATAGTCTATTGAAACTTACTATTGAGATAGCGATAGTCTATAGTCATTTTGTTTTCTCCTTGAATTGTCTCATTTGAAGTCATTTCCCAAATGAATGACATTGTATAGTTTATATGAAGTGAAAACAAGTTGAAGTTGTTTCAGTCTCTTTTTATAACTGACAAGAAACTTGAAATCCAGGTCAAATAAACAGTTAAAAAATAAACGTATTGTTATTCACAACTTCAAACTCCGAGTTGCATGCCGTGTTTGCCGCCATGTTTGTTTAAGAGGCAGCAGGGGCGGATAACTCTACATCAAAGTGAACGAATCTGGTACTTCCTGTATTTGCGCTGCGCATTTATCGACGTAAGTCAATTACTAAACTATCGATAGTCACAAATACTATCGATGCATCAATAGTTTTTCGTTTCTACCATTGATAATTGCTATCGGAGACTCAACAATTGCAATCCATCGATAGTTCAATGTATCATTACAACACTATTAAACCCTCTCGAATGTTAACAGGGACATTAAACCCTGTTAGCTAATTGGTCTGGTCAGCATGCAGTAAACCGTATCTCTTAGCTTTAACAAGGATTCACAACAGTAGGTCTTACTTATTTTTTGCTATGCACTAATGCATATAAATGCATTACCAACTGATTAAGAAGTGTATACAAGAAATGTCTTACTTTGAACTTCAGCATGCGGAAAAGCAGTGGGTACTGTCTTTGCAAAGTTCCATGCATACTCCACGACTTCCTTATTCTGCTGTTTCCAACCTGAAACAAAAGTTTCTAAATTTATTGCCAGGAAATGTCGAAATTATCTTACATCCACTTGTTGAATGGTTTGAAACTTTTGTATTATAAGAAATGTATTTAAATTTATTGTTTACCATCCCTCTTGCAGATTCAGCATTCTGTAGTGGTTGCCTCGCGGTTGTCTGTGAAAAAGAAACAGACTATTAAACAATTCGGAAAGATAAACATAAGAGACTAGCAGGTGGTACAAGTATATTGTCGGAGCTTTGCACGCCAGTTAGGGATACGTTGAGGATGTTTTCGTAATCAAGAAGAATTTTCTTTTTCTAATATCATACTTGTAAACAGTATGCAGTAGACAACTTTCTGTCCTCTGGGAGAGAAACATCGATCATTGAAATACGTGCGTTCGAATAACACAAATTGATGGGCGCTTCAGCGGTAGATGGTCATTTATACAGTGGTGAGGTCGATTCCTGTCAGACTGTAAGGTGCTGTATTTGTGTGAGTGAGACCTGTGAAGAAGAGGGTTAGAATTGGTCTTCAGCATCCTATGCTTGTCAGAGGCGACTGACGGGGTCAGGTGGTCAAGTTCGCTGACACATGCATTGATTCATATCCCAATCGATCACATGGTATTGCATAGATCAATGTTCATAATGACAGGGACCCGACTTTAAGGATGAGATTCAGTTTATAGGCCACCGTCATACACCTTGAATACTGCTAAGAGTGGCGTGAAACAGCAAAGAGTGAGTGAGTGAGTTAAAATTTAACGTCACATCGGCAATATTGCAGCCATATCGTGACGAGACAGTTTATATCAATATTGAAATCAATGAAGGCGTAACGTAAAAACCTGTCATCGAGGACAGTATAAATACTAGAGTATCACAGCTATATGATATGCCGTACGCCATGCAAATTGCCATTAACAATGTCACCTGCTACCATTACCATAGTACGCCCCAAGTTGGCGGTGTTGAATAACACAAGCCTCGTTAAACCGTTCTCCTGGACGCCAGTTGACTGTTGCCGACCACCACCTGGACTGTCCCCGCGTTGTCTTCTAAACCTCAGATGTTGTATACAGTAAGTGAGTGAGTTTAGTTTTACGCCATTTTCAGCAATATTCCAGCAATATCACTGCGGGGGACACCAGAAATGGGCTTCACACAATGTACCTATGTGGGCAATCGAACCTGGACCTTCGGCGTGACAAGTGACAGCTTTAACCAATAGGCTACCCCACCGCCAAAATGTTGTAGACAGCAGGCTAGGAGACTGCAACGTGGCAGCACATTTGGGCGTATCCCTGCATACAACTGGTCTCAATCCAGGAATTGTAGGATCTCCTAACGTGGCAGTTTAGTACCGATTCTGTAGACGTCCCAACTGAATATGTTTGTCTGGTTAACCTGACGTCACACGTCGACGAGTGGCTCGTTAGACAAGTCAGTGAGTGTAGGTTTTGGGGGTGGGTATTGCAGAGAATTTTCATATTGCGATATATTGCGATGCGGAAGCATATATTGCGATATGTATTGCAATATATTGCAAGAATTATTTTTTTAACAAAAACTACTTATAATCCAGTTAATGCTTGATTATAAAGCAAAAACACAACAAAATCACTATGCTTGATTAACCTTTTATAAAAACTTTTAATCATGACAAAATAAAAATGTAAGTAACATTTGGCACTAATGAAACAGGGAAAAGAACAATTCAAAAAACGGAAATATCCGAAGATTTCCGAGTGTTACGAAGTTTTCCGAATGCATGTCAAAATACCGGTTTTCGATCAGCTTATCGCAATACATATCGCGCAGCCCTAGTAGGTTTGCTGTGGATAACGTCTACGCAGAGGTAATATTGTTTCGATGATCATCAAAATGTCTTCGCTTTGATAATGTGTCCATTTATATAGCTCAAAATTCCACACTATAGTACTGTCGGAAATGCTAGAAAAATGCTTTTTGGCTGTTATATTTTCCGAGAGGTGATGAAGGTAGTATGTTGTCTATATATCAACTCGCCAACAATGTACCTAATTTTTATTTCAATCGATTTAACACTCCCATACATTTAAAAGGCAGTTTACAGGAGAGAAATCGGTACCAAAACAACAACTCAGGATTTTCGCAGAGTTTAACAACAGAAATCTGAAATAGGCTTTACATTTAAGCAATCAATACAGTTGGTGTAAAAGTATGAATTAACGTTTTTAATAAACAAATAAATGTTGAATGTGTGCGTTACTGTACTTAATGATCGTTTCTTTATTTAATAAATATTAATATAAATGTTAGTCTTAATAAATACGTTCCCGTTCCCGTTTTTTGTGCTAGAAAAAGACAGAGGTAAACCTTTCATTTGTTTAGAAAGGGTTTATCACAGAACGTGTACAGCAGTTGGTATGTCTTACTAACAAGTTTACAATATTGTGAATAAATCAAACAAGACAGGGACCGTCTCAAAATCAAAACCGGGACGTAAAACCATCCTTGACAACTTTGACAAGGGAGTGATCAGACGGGCAGTCTACAAACTGTACGAGAAGAAGATTCCACCTACATGTAGGAGTATCAGAGAGGAAATTAAGGACAGTATCAACATCTCCAGAACCACCCTCATCATTGCCCTCCATGAGATGGGGTTCAAGTACAAAGCCTGTGGTGATGACAGAGCTGTCTTCAGGGAGAAGCACTCTATTGTGGCGATAAGATCCTCTTACTTGAGAACTGTGGCAGAATACCGTTCCCTTGGCTTCCAGATAGTCTACCTGGATGAAACTTGGGTCAAATAGAACCATTCTACAGACTATATGTGGTTACCTACAGACGGACAGAGAGCCCCCCATGGTACCATCTGGGAAGGGCAACCGAATGATTGTACTGCATGCAGGAAGCCGGGACAAAGGATTGATCGACGGTTGCGAATTGGTCTTTGAGGCAAAGAAATCAAGTGGAGATTACCATCAGGAGATGAATGGAGGTGTCTTCATGGATTGGATGGAACATCAACTTTTGCCCAATCTTGATCAGCCCACTGTCATAGTGATGGACAATGCCAGCTACCATAATGTGAGGGAACCCGGGAGCATCACACCGACAATGAGCAGCCTGAAGAAGACGATGCAGGATTTCCTCACATCGTGTGGTGTTCACTACAGACCGGCAGACACAAAGATACAGCTGATGGAGAAGATCCACATAAACAGGAAGCCCATTCAGTACACGGCCGACGAGCTGGCTGCTCAACATGGTCACGTTGTGTTACGTTCACCCGTGAGACATTGTGAACTGAACCCAATGGAACTTATCTGGGCAAACTGTAAGGGGTTCGTTGCGAGGAACAATTCTACTTTCAAGCTCTCGCACGTAAAGGAGTTGATTCATGCATCGTTTGGCAGGATAACCTCTGAAGTGTGGCAGACGGCAGAGGACCACGTCCTTGACATTGAACGGAAGTACCGTCAACGTGACGGAGTGGACATCAGTGTTGTTGCACCTGTTGTGATCCAAGTGCATGAGGACACGGATTCAGACTCAGATTCGGATTAAATGTTCTAATGGTCTTCATTCCAACGTCTGTTATATTTGATTAAAATGTGTACTGAGCATCAAGTTTATGTGTCGTTCAAGCAGTTGGTTTTATACACATCAGACCATCATAAATTTACTTTGATTAATTGATTATTTTCATACAGTGGCTTTTCAGTAAACAGACAGCAAAATAAAAAAAAGTTATCATTGCTCATCTGATTCTACTTCGACATAGCCAGATCTGCTCGCTGACAATATATATGTTTTAAAGAAGTTACACCAGTGACTTGGTTAAGTCTTTGGCCAATGTTCACAGCTGGGTTGAATTGACAAAATTACATATGACATATATATTTGCGATGAAATATACTGTTGACATACAAAACATTTAAATAAAACGTTGCACGTGGCTACAATCAATGGATAAAATAACACAAGTGCTGGGATTCTTTCTAATGCACAATAATTCGTATGTTTCTTTCAACACGCACGCGCACACACACACACACACACACACACACACACACACACACACACACACACACACACACACACACAATCCTTTACTCAACCAATACGTATACTATACGTACAGTCCGTTTTACCGATGAATTGCAATCTAGCTCGAGAACTAATAAACCTATAATACTCAATGAAACGATGATCATAATCATATCATCAGACCAACTCTTTGGGTTTTTTCCAGAATTTATGTCCTTCAAATAAAAGAGTTGTTTAACAAACTATCATTCAAATATTGACACAGTTCACTATTTGTTACGAGGGAGGAGCGCAGAGAAAGGGACAGCCGGGTGTGCGAGAAAGGATGGGGACGGCACATCACAGGTTCATGAATCAATAACTTTGTCGGCACTTGTGCACGTGGTTCTCAAACACCTGGCTGTCCCTTTCTCTGCACTCCTCCCTCGTAACAAATAGTGAACTGTGTCAATATTTGAATGATAGTTTGTTGAATAATTTTTTTATCTTTAGGGCTTAAATTCTGCAAAAACCACACAGAGTTGGTCTGATGATATGATTATGAGCATCGTTTCATTGAGCAGTTTATGGTTATTAGTTTTCGAGTTAGATTGCAATTCATCGGTCTACTTTTGCGCCAAACGGACTGAAGACATATTCAACATTCTGAAGACAAAAATCTACTGAGATGACCCCTCACCCGAGCGTGTGCTCAGGTGTCAATTTCACCTGTCGATACCGTGCATGCTGATGACATCATACAGGCAGTTAATGTTTGTTTCAAATAACGTTCCACTACCCCTTATTTTTTCTAAGTTTTTGATATTTTCATCTGTAAAAACACATTTCAAGACATGTCTCAAAATTTATTCCCTCGGTCTACATTAGGTAGACGTTTGTTACACTGATATTTGTTATTTCAGTAACTCTCATATCTCTTAATTTTTAATGACAGTCAAAAAGCATTTTTCTAGCATTTCCGACAGTACTATAGTTATGCTCATACTGCTAACAATGACTAGCACACCACATTATTACCCCGGATAGCGTAAGCTGCCTGTTATGAAGATTATAGTCACATGACTTATCCCACCGGGTACCCACTTCCTGCTGGGTGAACATAGGTAATTTTGAGAACTCACTTGCCTAAGTGGAGACCACATGTATCACATGTTATTCGTCACGGTCATCCATCCAAGGACTCTCTGTGTCCAACATTGCTAAACTGATTTGTGACCTGAGCTCTGTGCACAGGACCATTCACACCACTTTGAGCTGTTCCTGTTTGAAGCATACCTTGCATTTCTGCAAGTACCGGCACTGCGTAAACGTTGTTTACAGCTAAACAGGTGTGGTTTAATGAGTGAGTGAGTTAAGATTTATTTAAACTAAACTCGGCTTAAGCCACATCGTGACTACAACAAGTCATACACTGATAATAAATAACGTTATATTATAAACTCTGTCGACAAGGGACAATAAAAACTAGATTATCGCAGATAAGGATATAAAACTAGCATGTAAATTTACAATTATACCGCAATGCAGGACTATACAATAATAAAAAAATATAGTAATGGGTTGGGACTAAGGGGATTTATACTAATCCTTCAGTTGTTGGTCATTTATCCGCAAATTCGCCAAACATTAAATGAACATACATGAATATTCTTCGATTAAAAAGACGAAGGATGAAAATTACTTTGTATGAAATGGGACTTACTGTGGTTTTGTGAGCGCTCGATAACTAAACAAGCGTTACATGTAATATATGTTATATACTAGGCACATAAAGAAACTGTGCATACAAAAATTTAAAATCTAAATTTATCAAACCTGTGTAGACACATAAGGATTAAAACTCAGAGATTAGTGACATGTATCCAACATGCATGCACGTGCCACGTTCCGTGACGTCAGTGGGTTCGTCCTTGAGACGTTGTAATACGTTGTTGCACGTGCATTCCGGGAAAGAGAAACAGAGCAAATGAATGCCACACAATACTGTCACTTTGGAAAGCTCAACCCCTGCCCTTGCGAAATCATGTCCGCAGACCCTTGTGTTGGTGGAGAAATGTTGTTTTTACAGATGAGTCAAGGTTTAACATTTCCCATAGTGATGGACGTCAACGTGCCTATAGACGCGTGGGAGAACGTTATGCACAGGCACAGGTGTCTAGGAGAGGAATCGCTTTGGTGGTGATTCTGTGATGATTTGGGATGGAATAAAAGCACGCCAAAGAGCTCCTTTGGTGATTGTTCAGGGCAACTTAACTGGTGTGGGCTACAGGGATCAGATTCTTCGACCTGTGGCAATTCCTTTTCTGCAACGTCATGGCCCTGGGTTAACATTCCAACAGGACAATGCCCGCCCTCACACGGCAAGGGTTGCTATGGATTTCTTGCAACACCACAACGTTGACTTACTGCCTTGGTCTGCAAATTCACCGGATCTCTCCCTGATAGAGCATGTTTGGGACGAGATGGATCGACGTCTACACCGTCTTCCTCATCCGCCAGATATCGTCCTTGACCTTGCAACAGAACTTGAGAGAATCTGGCGTGACATCCCACAAGCCTTCCTTGCACGTTGATCGGCTCTATGCGTCGTCGATGCACTGCTGTTCTCAATGCCGATGGTGGACATACCCGTTATTGAGCTTGTGACATGGTCGTTTGACCCCTGTCCCGCTTGTGGACTCGTGATGTCATTGTGATTGACTTTTCAATTGAAATTCTCCCGACGTGTTATGGTCTCATGATCCCTCCATTAAAGTTTATATGTACCTTTGACATTGTTATCGTACTTATCAACTGGGATAATATTTTGACAATGCACAGTTTCTTCATGTGGCTAGTATATTTGGGATTACACTTTCTCAGTAAAGTACAGATTCTAGTACTTTTGTTGGGTTGAGTCCCATCCGGGATTCAAATCCACACCCACAGAGTCAGGCACCTGATCGCCAGCACTCAAAGTCAGCCGCCTAGCCCGCTCAGTCATCGCAGCTTCTACTAAACAAGCGTCATGTGCTGTTCACAGTATCGTGCTCTAAAAAACACTCAAACATCCAAATAAAACTAATATTAATATTAATAAAACCTTCATAGGTGATGGTTTGAAATATTTACCGCTTGTGATGGAACAATCAATACAGTCAAGCAGGACCGTGATTTTCTCATCACAGGGGATGCAACGGATGACCCTCAACTCTCAACATGTATTCATGAGTATATCTGGAATGGCCAATACGACATCGTCGCAATATGACTCCTCAAATCTAGACAGACAGCCCAAGTAGGTGTAACCGATAGCTGGATTAATTGCATGTAATTTATGTATACCTACTTGGGTGTCCCACTTCGTTTGCATCACATGAGGGATGTGAGATCTAATCACGGGTTTATGGTGTCACGGATTTGTCGAGTGCTGACTTTGAAGCAGCATTAACCCTTGTGTTGTCGATGATTGCACGTGGATGGGTAACCAACAAAAATTCACTGGCCAGTGGAAAGATTACAATATGATTCATTTACTTCTATTAAAAGTGGATGTTTACATGGTATATATTTGTAATAGTGTTAAGGCACAAGTCTGAAAATATGACATATGGTTGATATTTGGTATATTTAAGACCGGTAACATGGCGGTTCCTTCTGCTGTGAAATTAGAGTTGTTATCAGATAATGAGAAGATATTATTTTGGATCTAATGACAGTGGCACAAGCAACAGCGCACCATCCAAGGATCCAACTGTAAATAAAGATTTGTATGTATTATATCTATTTCTTAATTGATTTAATCATTGTATGTACTGATACGGCAATGGGGGCAATATTTTTCAAAGAGCGACAATGCGACAACTGGCCATATTCGCACTTTTGTTAACTTTGCTATTTTCTGCGTGTTTTTGTACAGCGGTTGACTGAGGACAGTTGTACTTCCGCCAGTTAGTTCCATGCCTGCAAGGTATCCTATTTCTCAAGTTGTAATGGCCTTCGTGACGGCATGGTGTTTTGAAACCTGATGCTCTGAAAAGTTATAATACCACGGTGATTTCTAAACTACAAAAGAGAAACTCTTTGAGGTCTGTTTATTTGAAACCTACTGCATACCCTCGCACATCAAGCTGACAAATGACGTGAAGTCCTCACTCACACACTCACTCACACCTGTAGATCAATAAGCAACTGCATTGACAAATCAGAGTCATAAGTTAAGCGAGTTCACAGATGCGTTTTTATTGTGTCTATGATCAGTTGAGGCCAAATGTCACAAATTGAACAAATGCACATAATGTTCTTTCCAGCTATACGTCATTAAACGTGTGATCTCTATCTGTAAGATTTGGGCAAATGTTTCAAACCGTTTCCTTATATAAAACATTCTGAATAACTGTTCTGAATATTTCAGCAGTTTAATAGTGAGTGAGTGAGTTAATATTTAACGTCACATCGGCAATACTTCAGCCATATCGTGACGAAAACAATGCATACAATATAAAAATGAAAACATTGTGAAGAGTTAAACCTGTCGA